AAACAGACAGCTGTGAAACACAGGGGTATAGACATCACTGACATATTACCCACACCTCATTGCTCTTGGTTTGGGGAGGAGTGGAATGGGGTGGGTCAGGGGAAGGTTGTGCACAAAAGGTGGGGGCCAGCTAGTAAGGGTGACAAGTAAGGAGAAAGAGTGAACCCTCAGTACTACTCGGCTCACCATGGAGAGGTAAACATAGGAGGAACAGAGTTCCAGGTTGATCTGCTTGTTAACAGCATCCTCACAGTCCTTGTGGTAGTTCTGATGCACTTGGGAGGCCATCTTCACTATTCCTGCTTACTATCTCCAAGACAACTCAAAAACTAAGCATCACCCCCACAAGTTCTTGTATTTATACTCCTGAGACATCCTGCACTCAACCACTGAATGACATCACCAATCATTACTGACAATTCCTGACAACCAATCAGGAATAGCACATCAACCGAGGCACCAATGAAAAGGGAGGGGGATGGGGACAATGCTGAAACCTAGAGCCAATCAGAGATTTAGAATACTGAGAGATTTGGGTAATGAGCATTGATGATGCAAGTGCTTTTGGAGTGATAGTTCCTCAACACAGGCCAATCTAGCTGGTCAATTGTAAATGGATATGTGGTGTGTTTGTGTCCATATCTCTGGATCTGAAGACTCTGGTGTCAGGTCCCACTGTCTCCTCAACAGGTTGCTCAGAAAGTATTTATCCTGGGACAGGAAATGAAGTGATTAAAAATGTTACCTTTAGTGAAGCACTTTTCCCCCATCTGACCAAAACTGGTTATTTTGCCTCAAGTGTTTCATTGATACCCCAAGTGTTTGCAACTAGTTTTATTCTAGAAGATTTAAAGGGGACCTGAGGGGCAGTTTTTTCACACAGAGGGTGGTGCGTGTATGGTATGACCTATAAGTGATTGAGGCTGGTACAACATTTAAAAGCAATTTGGACAGGTACATGAATAGGAAGCGCTTAGAGGGTATGAAAATACAATGGCTTCAAGAGGTGTATTTTGACTTTAGTTTAAATGAAAAAAGTTTGAGACAGAGGTGGTGAGTAGTCAGCTCAAAGCCAATAAAGTGAAGAGCTTGTGAGGCGTTGAGGTTTTTATTGAAGTTTGAACAATAGAAGGAACCTGAATTGTGGAGAGTGGGCGTGGGCCAGGGGGGAGTTGCGGGACGGGGTGGGGGGAAGTGGATGAGTCAACTCGCACAGAACCAGGATTTTTACTTTCAGCTTTCAGCAGTTGCTGAGGTTTTCGAGCTGGCCATGGGAGCTCTTATTCCTCTCTCTGTTACAGCTACAAGCTGGGAGTTCTCCTCCGGCTGTTAGAATTGCATGTGAGAGAATCTATTTTACCGGACTGACCTATCCCCTTCCTAACTCCCTACGTACACTCACCTTTCCTGGCTCCATCCCCGCCTCTTTGACCTGTTTGTTTCCTCTCCACCTATCCTCTCCTCTATCCGTCTTCTATCCGCCTCCCACTCTCTCCCTATTTATTTCAAAACCCCCTTCCCCTCCCCCTTTTCTGATGAAGGGTCTAGGCCCGAAACGTCAGCCTCTCTGCTCCTATGATGCTGCTTGGCCTGCTGTGTTCATCCAGCCCTGCACCTTGTTGTCTCGGATTCTCCAGCATCTGCAGTTCCTACTATCTCTGATTCTATTTTACTGAATCTGCCTTTGCCGTGGGTGTTTTTATAGTATTTCATTATGTTGGAACAATTAATTAGTCATAGTTAATGTATCTACTATTTTGTTCAGCATTTTGATAAGTAAGCCAATACTTTCCTTTTTGTTTTGTCTGTATTTCAACTGCACTGTAAAATAAAGTATGCTTTGCTTAAAGTTAATAGTTTGATCAATTGAATTTCACCTGGAACACAATGCCTTAAACTTACCTTTAAGATAAGAAAAATTTACGGTCTAAGTGTATTTGGAGAGGTTTTGGTCTGGTCCTTAACAAGAGATACGAGCTAAATTCATGCAAATGAGAGTAGGTCAGTTTGATATACCTTGTTAGCATGGATGAGTTGGACCGAAGGGTATGTTTCTGTGCTGTTTCACACTGTACCTCTAAGCAGCGCGGTCCTGGAATAAGTGATGAAATGTGTTCCTTTGGATTTAAGTTCGGGTTTGATGGGCCAGATGGGAGAGCCTGTGATTGACATCAGGAACTACCAATCACCATCCATGCACAGCCCTCTTGGGACAGACCCCACCAATGGATGCAGTTGACTCGCCCAAACAGAAAATGGATCTGGAGATTGACAGATGTCCTGATCAAAATGGATCTGAGATGCAGGGGATGTCCATTAGTCACAAAGGGCTTTGTCCAAACTAATGGACATCACATGGTCACTCATTAGTCACCAGAGACTTTGATGAATATCTGTGGTGACTGGCTCTGTGGGAATAGGTGGCGTTCCTGGCTTACTCCCTGGTTGTCTGTGTAACATAAACCACAGATACTCATGTTCTTCTCGAGTCCATATCCAAATAAATACACTGCGGGAAATTTATAATACAATGTTGAAGTACACACTTACTTGTTAATAGAGCATTTCTGAGAGATAGCCAGATACCCTGCAAAATTTCAGTCTCATGTTTTTGCAGAGAATACCTGTGCAGTTGCAAATTTCAGAATATGTGGGCAGCAAAAGTTAAAGAAATTGAGACACCTTTGTAGGTCATTTCCATCTGGTAAAGGCATCTTATGTACATGTTTTATTTTGGTAGGAGGAAGTCCAATGCCATCTGATGATTAGACTCAACCAATTAAATTGAGATGGCTGAAATTTATTTGATCTTTTGTAGAGTTGAAAACAAGACCATAATTCCTTGCTACTGCCATGAGTTGAAGATTTGTGTTTTGCTCAAGTGTACTTCTGAGAATGGTCTCTACAGGATGTAGATATCTTGGCAGGTTCTCAAAGACGCTGTCCTTTTGTTGTTGGAATCTATCTTCGCTGACGTACTGTTCCAAGCCCCTCTGGTATTGTTTCTTCCTTGGCCCTTTTTCACGTGAGGTTACAATTTGGGCTTCCCTGGACTATTGGACTTCCTACAGATTTGAACCCAGTCTGCTCACATAGAACACAACTTGGATGTATCTTGAAAGAATGGACAGTGCTTTGCAGGGTGAGATGGGCCACATCTGATTCAAGGATTGGAATAGTTGTTCCATTGTCAAGCACTGGCAGATGCTACTGGCTTGTAGTCATTGTTTTGAACTTGCTTCCTTTCCCCAGCTGGGCATCAATTCTTTGTGTTTGTTCAGAAGGGTCCTTTACAAGGAAATGATGGATGTACAGATAACACGGAGTTCATCATCTTTCCACATAAGTTGGCTTCAGTGAATTCACTTTTCATACCTTCCCTTCAACATCAACCTGTGAATCGATCAAACATTTCCCCTGGCTGTTGGCAGTATGACATGAGCTCAAGCTGTGTCTCCCACAATTGAGCATCTGAAATCTGAATGTCATCAGAACCCTTGCCATCATCAGAAATGCCAGAGGATATTATTCTTCTAAACTCTGCAGTACCCGATGCATAACGAGTTTTGCTCCCTGCCATTCCTGCTCAGGTAGTAGCTGGTTTTTAAAAGAAAAAAGTTCTGTTTTACAAGACCTGATCCTGACCCAGTGTCAGGGGCCTACTAATCCTTAGTTATGTTTTTGTTTTGTAAATTGTCTGTCACTGATCTTTGACCAGCTGCCCTTTAAGGTGGGGTTTAGTGCCTGCAGGTGACAGGCATGTGGAAAAAGGGTGTTTCTTTTGAAAAGTTCATATTCCCCTCCTTTAGTCCTTGAACTTGACAAAGCACATGCAATGTTGGGCTCAGCCACAAGCTTGTTAGAATAAACCCTCTGATGCACTCAATACCTCAGTTGGACTAATTGTCAGTATGGAGACTGACTATTTGGTCCAATTCACCTGTGCCCACTAGATATATAAAACTGGTCTGGTCCCATTCACAAGCATTTGCCCATGTTCCTCTGAACGCTTCCAATTCATATTCCCAACCGAGTACCATCTCTTATGCTGTAGCTGTACCAGCCCCCACCAGCTCATTCCAGATACACCAGCCTGTGTGGGAAAGTTGCCCCAGGGTCCCTTTTAACCCTCTTCTCACCTTTCAACTATGATCTCTGCTTTCTTCAAGCCTGGGAAGAAAGGCCTTGACTATTTATTCCGTCCACATCCCTCATGATTTTAAATCTAATGTCTCCTCTCGGCTTCTGACACTCAAATGAGGCTAGCCCCAGTTTCCTCAGTCTCCTTGCTGATCTTTTTCCTGAACCTTTAGCAGGAAATCCAGCATTGAATGCAGTATTCCAAAAGTGACCTCACCACTGCCGTACACAGCTGTAGAATGGCATCCCAAATCCTACACTCCAGGCACTGACCAATGTAGGGAAGCATCCCAAATGTTTTCTTCCCCACCCTGTCCACATCTTCAAGGAACTTAGTACCTGCACCCTAGGCCTTCATTTGCCAGTGCTCCCTTGGAGCCTAACAAGGACTGATCAACTTGACAAGCCAATGAAATTCCATCGCACCCTGATTTGAGACTTGCTCTCACCAAATACGCACACTTAGCATGTATTATTTGCTTAGCTCTTGGTGGTGCAGTGGGAGCATCTCTACCCCTTGTCTGGGAGGGATGGGTTCAAGTCCCAGCTGCTCCATTAGAGTGTAATACTGAACAGTTTGATAAAGCAAACAGACAAATGTTGAAAGCAAAGTTCCATAGGCACAACCTTAGTTATTCTATTCAAACCCAGAAGTGCCTGATTTGACTGTTATGTTTAGTTCACTGGAATCTGTTTTCCCAATAACCCTTAGGCTTCCAACCTTCTGGTCAGTTGGTCCTTTTGCCAAGAAGGCAGGGTCTATGAGCCATTCTTGACCCTTCACTGTTCTGGGGTCAGTGCTAATTCCTTCCCTCAAAGGATATTGTGGGTCATACTACACAAGATGGTCAGGTGGTTCAAGGCAGCAGCTCACCATCTCAAAGGCAACTAGTTCCAGGCAATTGTCTGGTCCAATCATTGAAACCCGCAGCCCAGTGGGGAAAGTGTTCCCATCAGCAAGAACAGAACCAAACAGGATCAAGCTACAGCACAGCTCACAGCAAGAAT